GAAGAGAGTGTGTGTGTGTGTGTGTGTGTGTGTGTGTGTGTGTGTGTGTATGTGTGTGCGTGCGCGTGTGTGTGTATGTGTGTGTGTGTATGTGTGTGTGTGTGTATGTGTGTATGGGTATGTATTGGGAAGCACTGTGTGTAAGAAGGACGATTCCAGAGTTATCAGAGAGTAGAAGGAGGTATCTTTATTGTCACATCATTACAGACGTTGATAGTCATCAGCTCATCCGTGGCATGATTGCTGTAAACAGATATGAGTTGGTTAGTCATGAGAAAGTATATGTATATATTAAATAACTTGCAAATTATTTGTGTGCAAAAAACTTTTGTGCGGATTATTTTTGTACAAAATGTAGTTACTTTTTTATTACGCAATTGTGAAGTATTTATTTTAATAAAACTGTTTTAATAAAATATGAGAATTAATAGATTTTATACTCTATTAGTTTTTCTACTATTATATGCATATATATTAATTATATATATTTTTACACATATATTTTATTTTTATTAAAGATAAATAATAAATTAAGCTAAAAGTTAAACATATAAATAATATTTCTTAATGCATATAATAATATTACATACAAGTGTACATTATTAGTCTAATAATTAATTCATTTTAAATATTATGATTAGTTTAATCTATTAATATGTTGTATAATATAAGACACAATAAGCTTTAATACAATAAGCTTTAATAGTTACAATAAGCTAATTTTCAAATCAATATATAGTAATATATATATATATTAAAGTTTAATATCAAGTAGTAATAAACTAGTCAGATTAATAATTACTTAGCGTTAGTCAGACTAGCAATTACTTTTTTCGTTCTTATCTACAATTCTATTTCTCATTAATTATTTAAAAACTTAGTTCATTATCCGTTTATATTAATATTATGTATATAATATTTATATTTAGTGTAACAAGTAATTTATTTAATTATTTGTAAGATTATGCATTTATATAAACGTATTTAACTAAATGCAGTAGTAATGGCTTATTTTTAGTCAGACATAAATCAAATCATTTATTAAATTCACTCATAAAAAGTATTGTTCTCAAAAAAATAAATAAACTAATAATTTTAAAAATTATAATAGAAAATTAAAAACTTTTGCCTTTAGTTCAATGCATGAAAAGTAAATAAGGTTTAAGACTATGGCTGACTATGTTGTAATCATTTAGAAACTAGATATCGCCGATTTTCATAAATTGCAAGTTCGTTCCCAAGTTTATTAACATATTAGAGATATTGAATTTTTCATCAAACTAATTTATAATACTATGAATATCTATTAGCTTCGGGGATGCGTCGGGGATCAATTAAACTTCGGTAAACTAAATCCATCTCGTCGCGAACTTTCAGGAGGATATAAGCTACCATTCGCCGCTCATCTCGGCGGGGAAATTTTCCGATTCGGAATAACTTCGACAGTCTTCGCCCCACTGGTTTTGCCATTTTCTCACACGCATTCCATTGTCCATTCACGTTTCTTGCGACGCACTCTTTCGCGACGTGCTATCGATTATCGCGAGCGCGATTTTCCATTGTGGCGTTCGGCCGAAGCCGTCAACGTCAGAGGGGAGGTCAACAGCGTGAGGCATTGTGCAGATGTGTCGCGGATAATAAAAGGGGTAGCGCCACCGGAGGGTTACTGAACCGCTCCCATCGACCACACGTAATACATCATTTCTTCTGGGGGATGTTCTCGACAATGTTGAGGTACCTCATGCTCTCGCAAAGCTCATCTCGCAACATCCATCACGAGGGAAGCCCATGCCCTCGCTGGGTTGAAACATCCCTATTAGAAATATCAGCGTGGTTTGTTATTTTGAGCTCCATTCTACGTCGCAAAATTGGACTGCAAACAATCGTCCTAGTGATTAAAGATACGTCCACTATCGTTCACTGTCGCGGCATTAGTCTCTTTGATCAAATTCAAATGTCAGCGACAGTATGTGTCTAATAACTGTTACGATAGCTTTTCAACGACAGGAGACATTACGCAATACAGCATAATACTATTTAAGATTATTATATGTTAAACAGAAAGGATTGGAGAAAGGATTAGGTGTATCGAGTTTCTCGCATTAATTGGTCATCCACCTCTACAACTAACCCGGCAAACTTCACACGTTGTTTCCATGCCTGGGGAGCCATGCCGAAGGCGGAAAATTATTTTTAGACCGGTCGACTGCCGTTACTTAAGCCTTTTTACATCATCGGGCCTCTCCGTCTGGGCAAAAGCGCGGATTCACGGGCGACGCGTGTATGCCGCTCAATTGGACGAGAGACCCGCGATTAGAGAGAGGATAAATGTCAAACGATGCGCGCACCCATGACCACCTCATGGGTCTCAAAGGATTAATTATGGGCGACGGAGAATCGCGGTTGTGTGTCTGCCGTTTGCAAAAATCACGTCGTTCGTCGTCGTCGTCGTCGTCGTAATCGGCATGCACGAGCGGACCGAGGACGATATATCGGGACATGCAGACAGAAGAAAGGGCTGTTTTCTTAATCGCCAGCGGTTCGCCGATAATTACGATCGGCGTGGGCGTAGCGTCGAATAAAGACTTCTTACGTAGGTAAGAAGCCTTAGTCGAGCCCGGGGGTCCATTCGTCACTCGACACGAAAGGTAGGTGTACGGTTGGTGTAGACGTGGGTGTGAAGATAGAAAGAGTGAGGGAGGGAGGAGGAGAGAGAGAGAGAGAGAGAGAGAGAGAGAGCTCTCTAAACACTATATCGATTTCGGCGGCGATGCGGTTACTCCGTGTCTAAACATGAATGGCGGGTGCACGTTCGTGGTGTCGCTCGTGTGAAACCTCTATGGTGTTAGACGTCGTCGTGTTTTCGAAGGTCCAGGTGAGCCAAAGATTGTTTATTCTTACACCATTTGGGCGCGTGATATTATTCAGCGACAGTTAAATTCAGTGAATTTTTGGCAAATATCTAAGACAGTATTATATGAGTATTATATTATTAAATAAGAGATTTATAGCAATAAATTAAAGTAATTTTAATAGATTTAAATATTACGCGATACATGAGATAAAAATAAATCGGTAGATATCGTATAAAGAAATTTTATATCTTTTTTTTATTCTTCATAAGCTTAAAATTAGCTTCTACAAAAAAGAGATATTTTTATCAATCAAGCACGACTAATTAAAATAACAATCAGCAATTGCTTTTCTTTTACTTATTTAGAATAAAGAATTTAATACGAATGAGCAAAACGAATTCATAACATGTTTACCAATGCAAAAGTCGATTGAACGTCCATCTTGAGAATTGTAAAAAAGAGAAAGATATATATATATATATATATATATATGCTCTCCCTCTTAGGACTTACAAGGGAAAAACGAAGAAAAATTAATGCTGAGATTATTTTCGTGATTGTTATCGATTTACAGAGCTGATATCTGCACGTGTCCAAACAGCAAACTCTTTCAGAATTAAAACTTTCGATCTACGTCGACGACAAATCAAATTGAAATATTAAATAAAATTATGTCAAATCTATATAAATCTATATTTTTCAAAATACATATTTTGTAATTTAAATCGCCAATTTAAAAATAGAAGATAAATTTACTTCTACACCACGTTAAAAAAAATTAAAATTTTGTATTATTCTGAAGATAATCTTGATATTAAGATTATTTTGACAAATATATTTTTATCAATATTCATTGAATCTAAAAAATTCTAAACGTATTAATTAATATTCATCCTTCCCTCCCTTTTTCTCTCTTTCTTTCTTGAAGAAAATAATTCTTTAAACTAAATATTTCCGTCATTAAATAAAATGCCGTACACAATTATAATCCTCAGAATTATGCACTTTCTCCAGAAGGCTCGAAAAAGAACATCGAGGAAAGAGCCAACGCCTTCACGTTGCTTCACGGGTTTCGACTTACAATTTTATCCACGGAGTGTGTTCAAGACTTTTGCAAAACCAAAAATCTTTTCGAGTAACCGTATAGAAAAGCGAATCGAGCGAAACACATCGAGGCACCGAGTAAAGATCGAAAACACTTGGATCTCTCTTCGTATTTATTTTCACCTTCGAGGTATCCGTGTTTATGGTGAACCGAATCGGAATCTCCGTCGAACGAAACTCCGTACGAGCGAGCACAGAGAAGGTCACGTAGGCCGTTTCTTCCTGCGGGAACACGGACGGAGAAGCGGCGCGAGATGAGCCAACGCCTTCGTATCTGCCCTCGTGATAGTTATCGACTCGTGGGGCCGACTCCTGGGACGTGTCCTTAGGCAAAAATCCTTCCGGAGTAAGACAACGTCAGCGATTAGATTATAATGTCCAGCGTATCCGGTCCTTCCTCCTCGAGGGTGGAGGCTGCTCGCGGCAGCAGCGGCAACGCCTCTTCTGACACGTCAGATGCGATAAATAAGTAGACAGTTACGCAGAATGAGAAAAGGAGGAAGAAAAAGTAGAGAAAGACACAGATAACGAGATAGAAGGAGACCGGGTCCCTGTTAGGGGTATGCATCGCTCTTCGTCGCGAAGCGGTCACAGGGAGACGCGGAAAGCGGAAGCGGGAGCGGACGAAGAGGTGCGACTCCGCCTAGTCGCGCGCGCGAGAGTCACCTCACCCTGGGTAAACACACTGCGGGATGCACTACTACCACCACCACCATCACCGTCAACGCGACACCACTACCAACGGTACCGGTATACGTACGATCAACGCCCCGCGCCACCCATCACCTTGCCGACGAAGGGAGAGAACGTCTTTTCTGTGTGTTTTCTGTCTCCCGGCCTCGTTGTATTTCCGCCTGCTTCCTTTCTCTCGCCGTCTCTAATTGTCTATCTACGTATCTATCTACGTCCCTCTTCCTCTGCTTTTTTTCCCTCCCGTTTCTCTTTCCTTTTTTTCCTCACTCCTTGTCCTTCTCTCCGCTACGCCCTTATTCTCCGCTGATGACCCTTTCGTCCGCGTGATGATGACTCACACTCACCGACACACGGCGACGTTTTCTCCTCGGCTTCCTCGGAACAGACCGGCGTCACGACTAGAGCCGCTCCCTAGGGAGGAGCTCTGACCTCGGTACCGCGAGCGAGAGTCCCTCTCGCGACGACACCACCGCGGCGAGGAAAGACAAACGGAGAACAGTTCGTGAGGGATGCTGGAAGCGCCGCGCGCGACAGTCAGAGAGGAGGTCGTGGGCGGCGGCGGCGGCGGCGACGGCGACGACGGGGTACGGGGATGACGGGGCTGGGGTTACGTGGCCCTCGCAGTAGTCTGAAGGAGGGGGAGACAGTTCGGGGGAGAAACTGGGGTGAGGTACGGTATCCACCCTGTTCTCGGCAAGAGAGAAAGAGAGAGAGAGGGAGGGGGGGGAGTAGGGGAAGAAGAGAAGAGAGAAGAGAGAAGCAGAAGAAAAGAGATAGAGGAAATTCGTCGGACGAAACCCGACCGGGACAAGACGCGACGAACGATCGGAGAAAACTACCCGGGTGCCGCTCCCGAAGGCACCCTCGTCGCAGTTGTCGCTACTGTTGCTGCTACCTCGTCGCTCGCTGACTCGCTCTCCCCCTCGCTTCCGTGGCTGGCGAAGGGCCCCGAGCCTCGCCGTGCGATCACGCTTCCGGTCTTTCGCGGGAAATCCTCGCGGACGACGTAGCCATGGATACTGCAGGATCCGGCAGGGAGAGGCAACTGCCCCGTCGCGCGCGCACCCCGTCTCCCGCCCGCCTGTCCCTGCCCCTGCCCCCGCCGACCCTCGGTATATTCTCCCGCCTCCGCCGCGATGCGCGCCCCACGGCCGAAAATGTCAATATCCTCTCTCGCGCTGCGCCCGCGATGCGTCCCCTCCTCGCGATCACCCGACCACCCCTTCGTCACGTCGCGACGCGCCGCGCCGGTGCGCCCCACTATACACGTTCTTCGTATGCCGCTCCCATCGTCCTCATCCCCCGCCAACCCCTTTTCACAACCCTATCTCGATTCTCTCCCTGTTTCTCTTTATATTTCTTCGCCGTAGTATCTCGCGGCGATATTTTCTCTCTCTTTCTGTTTCGTTGCCGAGACCATCCCTTACCGACTCAGGGGTGAAACTACAATCGCGGGAATCCTTAAGCCTATTGTAATAGGGAGCTCAACGAGGAATGGATCGTTAACGAGAAAATATCTCTTCGCTTATTGGTATTTATTACTAATTAGAGACTGACTTTGATTTACGAAAGTTTACTTGTGAGGATTTTTGTTTCACATGCATCCTAAAAGCCCCATTTAAGGCACGACCCTGATACTCGCGCACTTTCGCAGCCCTTGCTGCTCGTTCGCTCGCTCGGTCTGTTTCCCTTCGTCGTCGAGATCTCGGAGAAACCTTTCCCGTTTTATTTTCTCTCCCTCGAGGCGAGAAGCGGACTGTGACGAGGAGGGTGACTTCTCCTAGGGACTTGCTCTTTTTTTATCCTTCTCGTAAAGGCTCTTCATGTACTTTCTTACCTTTGCGCTGGACGCGCGTGGATCCCGTCGATCGATCCCGTTCTCCGCGATTAGACACGCAGGGGGTGATCGGCGTTCTCGTCTTCGTCGTCGGCATCGCTGTCAAGCCGACGCTTGACGAGTAACCATAGTGATCGGCGATCGATGCGGGGCACGCGCGCACTAACCATCCTCGAAGGAGACCCCGCATCCGGAACTCATCGTATCCTGCGTCGATTTTATTTCGCCGTTTAATCGCCTGATACCAACACGATCCAACGTGTTCACAGCGTGCGATTCCTGCGACTCTCTGGCGAACGCACTTGCGTTTTCCAATGTAACGAACAAAGATATATTCTAGGCATTCTGTATGAAAAAGAATGTCTTAATAAATATTCTTACAAATAATTTAGTTTGTTTTCTTATTTCTTTCTTTCTTTCTTCCTTTGCGATAACCAATAGTGATGCGTGCGTAGTAATAGCGCGTCGTGCCTGACTAGAAACTGACCTCTTCTACTTCCAATTTGTTTGAGAATTTCTCATCTCGAAAACGACAAGATAGATTTTTATTGAAAGCGAAAGAGAAACTATGAAAGTACTTTAATAATTTAAATTGATTAATATACATTTACATAAAAAATTTACGATAAAACTATTTTAAAACTAATTTTTAAAGTTAACTATTAATCTAAACGGATATATTGCATCGATGCAACGTTACATCATTTTTTTTATTAACTTATTTTTTTAAACATACAAGATAATTCCGCGATGCAGTTATATTTGCAATAAAACTTATCGTTATTTTATTTTGAACAAAAAAACAATTGTATAAAATACCGAAACTTACATCGACGTGTTTGACTATGCACTTTTTGCGCATTGTCTGCTCTCTTTTTCTCTTCCAAAGGTAAATATAAATACTCAAACCTGTTCCATTTTTAAATGTAAAAGTGGATTGGAGAAAGACGGGACGCGAACAGGCCTTTTAAATCGATTCGAGTGACACGTGACACGTGATCGCGGTATTTTCTCGACCATCATCTCGACAATTAAAGTTTCATCCGATCTATCATTATATTTATCCGTGAAATTTTAAAGACACCTAAGAATTTTTGTAACGCGACGTAAATGTCAAATGTTTATTTAAAAGTAAAGCCGAATTTCAAGCCGAAAGAAAACCCCCCTTATGTTTACATATTCCTAACCTCAAATATCGTTTAATGTGTCATATAATCTGAAAGGGCATTTTAAAGTTCATCACTCAGTGACAGATACAGATACAATAAAAAAATTAACGCAGTATTATAGAGAGATGCTGCAAAAAGCGATTCTAAGATTAAGGTATGCTGCTTCTAAGATTAAGGCTGCTCGGACGGCGCATCTTCGCTCTTTGTCAAAGCTATCGGTTGACTGCAAGGAAAATCCGGACGACAGGATGCAAGCCTGGCAGATACATTCATATAATGGACTGGAAGACTTGAGACTCTCCAATGTCAGAATGCCAATCATTATGAATCCTACTGACGTCCTGGTAAAGGTTGAAGCTGCTAGTGTGAACCCCATCGATGTTGCGATGACGAGTATTCTATCCTTATTTAATCACACTTGTATCTTTTGTCTTGAAAGCGGCATATGATGTTTTGAGTCAGTACAAATGTGAAGCTGCAAATCAAAGTCTGTATTTAGCAATGTAAAAACCATTTAAATATTTAAATGAATATTATAATTGAATATTATATTTTGATATGAATATTATATTTTGATATAAATATTATATTTTAATAAGGTTTCTTATTAATTTGTAACTCAATTTTTTTAATAATTTTTGACTGTCACTTTCATGGTGAAGAAATCCATAATTTTATAAAATATAATTTTGTAAAATTCAAAAATTAATAAAAAAATATGTATTTTATATAGATGGATATGGTAACACTCTTATAAATGCTATGCGCAAAACCAAGGGTCTAGTCTGTAAAATGTCTGAAGAATTGGAGCTGCCATTGACATTAGGTAGAGATTTCGCAGGAATAGTTGTATCCAAAGGGTATGGTGTAGAGGACAGGCTCAAATTAAATGAGAAAGTTTGGGGAGTGGTTCCAATTGAACAACAAGGCAGTCATGCGAATTATGTTGTGGTTAACAGTAACTTAGTAAGATATATTTTATTTTTAATGTGTTAAATATCTGATAAGTTGATATGTAACATATTGAAGGATATATTTATTTCTTTTGCAAGGTAAATCCATACTCTCAGAAATTATCTCATGTAGAAGCTGCGAGTATCTTGTATGCTGGTCTGACTGCGTGGTCTGCACTATGGATTACAGGAGGGCTGTATTACAAAACGGCAATAGTTACAAAATTAAATAGACGCGTCCTGGTAATGGGAGGTTCTGGAGGAGTCGGCACCTTAGCAATACAATTATTAAAAGCTTGGCGCATGCATGTAAATATCCAATTACACTGTGTTAAAATCTGTGACATATGAAGCATTAAAACTTGTTTAGGTGATTAGCACATGTAGTAGTGATGCTGTAGACATGCTACAGAATTTAGGTGCCGATGTTGTCATTGATTATAAGCAGGATGATGCCGATGCAAAAATTATTGCAGAGGGACCGTAAGTGATTTTCTATTAAATTGAAGAAATGTGTTATATATAATGCAATATATACATATATATTTGTATTATATGTGAAACTATTATACATTATATTATATTAACATATTATATTAACATTATATTATACATTATATTATATACATTATATTTGTGAGCAGGTATGATATAATCTTAGATTGCGCCAATCAAGGACCAAAATTCATCAGAATGAAAGGATATCCGCACAATATTTATATAACATTAAACTCGCCGATGTTAAAAAATTTTGATCATCATGGGCTAATTGTAGGAATGGCGAGGAATCTTAAGGATATTCTAAAATTTAATATTCCAAATGCAAATAACAAAAGTTGTGTTAAATGGGGATTTTTTATACCCTCTCAAACAGGAATTAACGTTCTTCAGAAGCTTGTGGAAAATGAAGAGGTACGTTCAAAAATTTCTAATACATGTTTCTATTAAAAATCGTAATTTTATATTTTGTGGAGAAATTTACAGATCGTACCCGTTGTTCAAGAAGTATATCCTTTTCAAGATTTGCCACAAGCATATGAAAGATTAAAGCAAGGTCATTTAAGAGGCAAACTAGTCATTGATATGAGATAATGGATCGCATTACTGAGTGACATATATAAATGTATATAAAATATCTTTTTTACAAATATCATATGTATTTTATTTACAATAAATAGTTATATATAAATAGTTCTATAAAACTTTTGCAATATTTGATATCTTTTTCATATTCTGTATATCATTGCCAAAAACCTTTTCTGTAACTTCCGTCCAACATTTTGTTGCAAGTTCTGTTGCTTTTTCTGCACCTTCTTTCAAAACCTCATCTAAATAGATAGGTTCTTTAATTAACCTCAATATATCCTCACGAATTGGAGATAGTTTCTCTATCATAATATCTGCTAACACTAATTTATACCTATCAAAATTCAGATAATTTTAATATTCATTCATTAATTTCTTCATTTATGAAAATTTTCATAATTATCTTTTACAGTATTATATAAGAAAATATTCGTCAAATACTTACTGTCCTGTATTCAAACCTGTGGCTTCTTTACATATCTCCTCTGGAGTCTTCCCAGTTAACAAAGAGTGTATATCAATTAAATTAGTCACTCCTGGTCGTTTCTCTGATTCATAAGTCACTTCGGATGTAAAGTCTGTCAAAGCCTTTTTCATTTTCTCCAACAGCACATCTGGTTCATCCAAAATATTTATCCTGGATTTGGAATCTGTATGTGACTTTGACATTTTTTTCATGGGATCACGTAAAGATTTGATTCTCTGACTCGGGCCATCTTAAAATATACAAATTAGTTAATCAATATTGCTAAATTAAAATTAATAATGCAAATAATTTTTTGAAAGTTACTGCATTATAAATTTACCACTGATAAGAGTATGAGGTATTGGAAAGGTTTGTCCAAATTGTCTATTAAATATCTGTGCTAAATCTTGTGCCAGTTGAATATGCTGAGCTTGATCCTGCCCAACCGGAACATGTGTTGCTCTAAGAAAGAAATCTTCATATATATTTTATTGTACATTAGTAATAATTCTTAATTATATTAACACTTTAGAAAATCGATACAATTAATAAACTCCAAAATAAATTGAAAAAAGATATATAATCAAATATTCAAGATACTAACTTATACAATAATACATCAGCTGCTTGCAAAACAGGATAAATGTATAAGCCTAGAGGTACAGTTTTTAAAAATTCACTTTTCTCCTTAAACTGTGGTAGATGCGCTAGTCTTGCCATAGTTGTGATGCAAGATAGAATCCAACATAATTCTGCATGCATTGATACTTTGGATTGTTGGAATAGAATAGTCCTTTTGAGATCTATGCCACAAGCTATCAATGTTGCAGTCATTAGCATGGTATTCTCCTTCAATTTCTGAGGGTTCTGTAATCATATATCGTCAGCAAGCAATAGCAGTGCCGGAATACAGAAATTTAATCTGTTATAAATTTACTTGTGGCAAAGTAATAGAATGCAAATCTGCTATGCTGCATATCATTGTTTCGCCAGAATTCTGTAATTCCACCCATCTCCGAATAGCACCAAAGTAATTCCCTAAGTGTATACTTCCTGTAGGCTGAATTCCGGAAAATATCCTCTTTGGATATTTAATCTGCGATGCCTGTGAGACAATAAAATATATGTAATAAAAATCGATATTACAATCAATTAGTATTCTAACAAATAATGAATGAAATTTTTTCTAAAATGCGATAATGATTCATGTAGCGTCCTAAATATATTTAATTAAACCCGAGAAGATTCTATCTACCTCGAAGAAAATAATTCTGTTTCAGGCATAAAGTGACGAAACATGATCGAACCTTACTGCCACATTCTCTAATTCTCTCAGGTTTTGTTGTCCGACATTTTTCTGAACGAATAACAGTTCCTAATATTTTCAACATGTCTCAAAATATTCGAAATATTCGAATTTATTAATGTGAGGTTAAGCCACATTAGAGGTTAGATTCTACTTGTTCAATCAATGATGAATTTGACGGTTGCCTACACTGCTCCGTGTCGCTCTTTGCAGCTAACTTTTCGTATCATTATTTCGTTTCTTTTTTCAAAATATCTAATTACATACTTAATATATAATTAAATATTAATTTAAAAAAGCAGAAATACATAACGTAGTAAAGTATATTATATTTATTTTATTTCAAGTGCAGAAAGCAAATTATAAATAACTTTTATTTTACGCTCTTTGCGAAAGATATTAAAAGAGACATTAAAAGACATTAAAGCTTTAAGTTACAAATATCCAAGAGAGAAAATATAATATAATATGCAAAATACTTAATATGTACGACATTAATTATATTAATATTTAAATAAATAAATATTAAATAAATTGAAATAAATTAATATAATAATCTTTAGTATGTCAATGTTGGAAACACATAAATCGAATATATTCATAATATCGGTCTTACCAAGTTCTTCAGCCAATCACAAACGATCTTAAGTTCGAAACACATGCGCACTTTGCCTATATTAGCGACGATTATTTTTTAATAATTACATATATTTTTGGAGAAGCAATATAAAATTTCTCTTACTTCTCATCGAATGTAAAAAGCAACAATAGAAAAGAATATATCTTAAGGGTAGTAAGAAAAGAAAATTTACATTCGAAGCGAGATACGAATGCTTTTTGAATTATTCAAATTTTTTCCAGAACATTTAACAACAACGAGTGTTTAATTGTGAAGTATAATCATATTTTAATTAATTTTATATATTTTAATTATATAAAAATCTTTTGCAACTGATATAATTAATATATTGCGATAACTCGTCTTGTTATTTTTTCTTTTCCTCGTATTTATTTTAATTAATCTGTTGCAATTAAACATAGTAAATATATAGGTAAAAATACAGATAACAGCGGCTCTTTCCGTTTTAACATAAAAACTTTGTATTCCAACGGAGAATAAATTAGATTAACAGCTAATTATGGTCTCCACCGTGAAAATCTTCAACATTATCATACCGCGAAAGGATGATCTTTGCTGTGCGATCTGTAAGATTATGAATTCCGAGAACGATCCCTTGATTTATTCCAATTACTGCAGGAAGAATATTAAATGCCGGTAGGTGTCTATTAGATATCATCAAATGTTGTTCCGTTGGCATTTTGCGAATTAAAAGCGAAAAAGTCCGCCGGATATAAACCCCACAAAGCATATCTACAGAGTTTGAATTGTGATTCTGAAGAGGAAATGTCGGTTTTAGACAACTTCTTCAGGAGACTCCTCAGGCGATGGCCGCCCCGATAACTAATCGGAAACTGCTTGAAACCGGTAGTTCTTTGTATGTTATCAGCACAAAAGAGTTTTTTAAGAGCTGTACCTTCCGGGATCATCTTGACGCCCTGAATATACAGGTGGTATGTTGAATATATAGGTTCTTGATGCAAAGATTTGTGGTCCTGCATCTCTTCACGAAAACGAGAATAAAAATTCAGAGCGTACACGGAAAGAATTAAAGTAAAATTCTAAAAATTCAACCAGATCTAAAAATAATCTTAGCCATTAAAATAATTATATAGAATGCTTAATTATGATAATACTACAAAAAATTTTTGATATTTTTTTTATTAAAAATAAAACGCTCTTTTTATTTAAACATTTGAAATTAGGTTCGTTTAAATTTTTGTCATTCTCTATACGCTATATTTCTGCTCTGGATTTTTGTCCCGGAAATCTCTCGTGAGAGATTATTCTCTCATATCGAAGTGCAAATATCGTGCAGATGGATTTACTGGACCCTGTTCCAATTTACATCTACAAGTCATGTCTACTCTACACCGTGGAATACAAGCTGGCACCACAATGGAACAAGGTCGGGATGTATCTCGTCGAGGGAGATTTTCTCACCTCGACAGGAAGCGTCAACGCAATCACACTGAATATTAAAGACATCCGTGGTATAATTTTTAGTTTCAGACAAATAACAACGTTAAATATGTTATAAACATTTTTATATTTAAAGAGATTTTTGCAGAATTGAAAAGTAACGTATTATTTGTAACACTCTGTTACAATTGCTTTTCTTCAGTGAATTGCTATAAAGATGTTATATTTTTTATTAATAAAACGGTATGGTTACATTTCTTGGAAATTTAATAGTAATAAATATAATTGTTATTTTTTATTACTAATTTGGTTAGATATAGATTTGAAAATAATCTTGTTGGATTGGGATATAATTTCGATAATCCCACAAAATTATTTTCAGTTTTGTATCTGGACAAATATTCAAATATCGATAAATTATTTTTTTCGTACACATACATAAATCGAGTATAAATCAGTTCTAAAAAAAATTTTCAAAATTTGTTAAAAAAGTAAGGAAAACGATTCATTAGTTTTTGAGTAACAATAAAGATAGTGAGTTTTTTTTAATTGACAATGAGTAATAAGTTACTTTTCAAAAGTAATTTTCTCAACTCTAGATTTTTGTGATAAAGAATAATTTAATAATTAACTAAAAGAAGCCAATAATAGATAGTTTCAAAAAGATAAATATTATAGACAATAATGCGCACCTTCATGTGGAAGCTTCAAATCTCAAAATACCATTTCTGAGATTGAAAACCACACGGTCATCGCAACATGATTTGCAATCACCAGTACGTGTTCTACCAAGGTAAAAAAAAAAACTAGAATTGTGTGAATATTGTTAACATAAATTGCTATTATAAAATATAAAAATTTTGCATGAGTTTTTATATTATTAATATTTAAGTATAATTACTATAAGTATAATTAATTATATAAACGTCTATCCATAGCATGAAAATGGCAAATATATTGAGCGTCTCGAAAAGAATTGGAGAAAAATTTAAGACTTATGAAAACTTACGTGCGTATTGGAAAAACATGGTGTGAATCTATTTCTATAAGTCATCAAAATGAATATTCCAAGTTTAATACAAATTCTCTTTGTTTTCGGTTAATTGCTTCTTTTCTGAAATAAAGATTTGTTACACAAAGAATAATCTGTTCTTTGAAATAAATTTCAATTGAGTTATTTTTCGACGTTATTAACTAATAAAAAAATGTGTAAATAATAAGAAACAATTTATCTCTTTGTTTTAGTACGGTTATATGTTGCCAGATTATGAGGAAGGATTCTTATTTTACAATGTTGAATTCTTTTATTTCAAGTCGAGTATTTTTATATATCCTGAAATGTGTTTAGCCTCAGGACCTCTAGAAATTCTTCCACCTGCGATGGATCCGGTGTCTAGGATTTATAAATTTGTGGGAGATCTAAGAGGAAGAGTGACTAAATTATGCGAGCAGCAATTGGACGTGTTCCCGGAAGTGAGAACACACTGCATATATTTAATAACATCTATTTTTATTATTGAATTTCCTCAAACTTATCAACCTCTTGTTTGAAACAATCAATTTTTACAGCTCAAATTTACATCCTTTTTTTTTAAATATAATTAACATTTTAATTACTATTGTCATTAATTAGAATAATAATCTAATAAAACAATTTTTTATAAAATATATTAATTGTTTGAAAATATATGCTTGAAAACATATTTTGAAAATTAGATTAAATCAATATATAATTTACTATATAACTTAATATTGCTTTTGCAGGACATGTATCAGGCAGCTATTTTAGCATGTACACCGATGTTACCCAAAGTTGATAAGTTTTCGGACTGGGGTACAGGATATGGCACAGGATCGAGAAGAATTAGAAATGTGATGCCTCGAATGTTTGATACGTGCGATATTCCCACAAAACAATCGCGATTATCGCTATCAGGGATTAACAAGTCTGTTATGTGCAAGACTGAAATCGATCTCGATTTTGGAATCAATCCGACAAATAACTTTAATAAAGTACTCAAAACCACTGATACTATTTCGACGATGTTATATGATAATGCTGTGACCGACAAATCAGTTGTCCAGAAAGATGAAAGCAAGTCGAATTATTTTAAGCAAAAGGAGGAAAAATTTGAGAGCAACTCTTTAGTAGTAAATATATTGTACATTTATATAGCAATTTTTCATGTAATAAATAACGAAATAATTGACAAGAATAATATCATGTTTAAGGAAATGGCAAATAAAGAAGAGAAGCCCAAGAAGCAAAGCCTAAAGGAGAAACTATTAAGAAATTTTTAAGAAAATATTTCTACAATTTGCTGTCTCAATAACAATTATTATTACTCATTTCTCTATCTAAAATACGATTTCATAACAACAATCTACATAATAAAAGTATTTTTAATAAAGTAATTAGAGAACCATTTTAAATCAGAATAAATAAATAAATAAGTTATAAATAAAATTCGTTATAAGTTATAGATAATAGATTATTTATCTCTTAAAACATAATTAGTAAAAACGTAGCGTGTTAAATTGTTTAAGTTGTTTGTATCAATTCATAAATAAAAATTATCAAATCTTATTATGTTATATGATTTACGCATTCCTTTACTGCCTTCAGCAAATCGTGTCTGTCTCTCTCGTACTCAATACCGATTTCTATTAAGTCTTTATCCGTAAGTGTTAAAAACAGATCAAAGTCCACCTATAGGATAAGGTAAAATAAATTGTATAAATTTAAAAATTATGCTACTCTATAAAAAATATTAATTAGTTAAAAGAAGAGAATAAAGCTATTAAAAATCCTTTAACTCTTTTCAATTCTAATGCACATTTTATATAAAACGTACTTCCTGTTCGAGAAATACAGGGATGTGTTGGCTCAATCCAAAGCGTCTCAATACCATGATCATTTTCGTCTGTCGCCAATTCAGTAACATTCCTTTCGGGGGCGTTTTGCAGCGCGGCGGCGTCGGGGTGTTTTCACCGAACACATTATCCTCATTAAGCTCTGGGGGCACATGGGGCGACTTAACAGGGCTGAATTCGGGTGTGAATCCGAGAGTGGTATTAAATTTACACGAGACATCTTTCATATCGATATCAGATGGTCGTACCGATTGCGATCTGGGTAAAAATAGAATTTGTTTCATTATTCATCATTTTAAAGTATTTAAATATTAAATATATATATTTTAGAGAACACACAAATACGCATATGCTTTAAGGAACACTTATTTGATATTGAAGAACTATTTTATTTTCAATAAATAATTATTAAACTTAACTACATAACTAATTATTTAACTTGTTTCCTACCTCTGAAGTACAGTCGAATATAATTTAGGTTGATTTTTGTCCGTCAAAGAATACTTTTCCGAATTATTTTCCATTATTTTCCTTTCGTTCATATTTTCATCATGAAAAAGTAAATCCGAATTTTCTATAAGATTGGCATTTTTGGAATGGACAGTTTTCGAGAACATGAATATGTCGTATGTTAAGTTTGGTGATATTGCAGTTTGTTTGTCGGATTCCATTGGTAGCAAGCGCAGCTTGAGTGATTCTTTTTTATTCTCGTCATTTTTTAAAGTAGAATCTTCCGTATCACCGCCGATATCCTGTTCGCTCATTACCTCAATGTTATCCGACGTATCATTCCAATAATCATCCGTGATCGGTTCTCCGTTCACCAAAGTGGCTATTTCCGGTATGGTGGAACGTTTCATCATGATGCGAGTGTATCCATCTATTCATCAATACACAGGATTCTAGATGCAGTTTCTTTATACGTTTAAAATAGATATATCATAAAGAAAGAAGAAAACAATAAGCGTAAAAAATATAACCGATAAGAACAGATCATTTTCCTTGATATAACCGAGTTTGCAATGCGATATAAAAGTAAGTAACATTTTATTAATATTTCTAATTTTTATTGTAAAAAATAAATCTTACTTTATAAAGTGTTTATATTATGTTTAATTTAGTTGAGATTAAGATATTTTTTTTATTTTTACAATGATTATTTTTCTCATATTATAATAAATGTCACTTTATCCATCTTGCATAACACAGTAGAATCAGGGATCATAAATGCAACTAGTTTTATATGCAAATGTTAGATCGAAAATTTTTTATAAAGAGAAATTGTCTAACTGGCTGTCAGGGATGGCATGCCTAATTCCAACAGTCTCAGAAACAGCTCCTTGTCGTTCTTCATGGCAGCCACGCATATGGGAGTAATATCATCATTAGCTGTATTCGCCAGTGCTTCCGGGCAGGCGTTGTATACCGTTTCGAACATTTCCTTACTAATTGCAGCAGCTAGTCCAAGAACTGACATACCTGCACAGAAAGAGAAAGAAATGACTCAATTTAAAAAACGACATTTTGACAACATAACTGTACATGAAGAATTTCTGTAATTGTTTTTTAATTTGTCTTGCTCTCTAGAGTTTTATATCTTACTTTAAATATTTCGGCCTAAACATTCTAAAATTGTCATTTCAGCAAGAGATGCTCGCTCACCGAGATAAGTCATTTTATTAACGTCGGCGTTCTTTTTTAAGAGCAATTTCACAGTGTCGATATTTCCATTACGAATTGCTTGCATCAGCGGAGTCCAGCCAAATTTATTCTTCCTGTCTATAACGCGGCAGTTTTCCTTCTGGTTCAAAATTTCCTCCACAATCCCAAGACAGCTGTTTGCCGCGCTTATGTGTAACAAATTCTCGTCGTAATTGTTTACGGCATTCAAAGAATATCCTGCAAGAGAATTCCTTTGTACAAATCACTTATTTGATATATAACACTATAGACTTGTGAAATAATTATTTTAAATTGATTTTGAAACGTTGATCATTATATAATATTCTTTTCTATCCATGTAGATTAACTTTACTTCTTGGTTTAATATACTCTTTATCTTTTTCTAATTCTTAGAATTAAAAAAAAAATAAAAAAGAGTTCAAAATCGAGATTTCATCAATCTATCAATCTACATTATTCTAAATGGACACAAATGCAATAATTAATTAATTATAGGTTATGTATCGCTAGTTAGTTCGTATAATTAAAAAAAGCATCATTATGTTACCTTGCTTCTGCATCTTGGTGATCACCTGTGATTCCACAGCCTCTTTAGCACAGCTATCGTGTGACTTTGCTTTTAACATCCTTCTTTTGTTCACTCTTACAATGAAGATTAAGCGCATTAAAATATGATGCAATCAGATTAATAACTCTATAAATAATAACACTTTAACCTCATTACTCATTATAATCTTCTATACTGATAAATTCGTATTACAACACTTCTACATATTGAAAGCATTCCGACTTCGCCAACATTTCGCACAATACTGTCTTGATCTCGAATATTGTTAACTAAATATTGTTGCCTGTAATGTCACCTGGCAAGTGTTTCCTTTTTTTTTTCGAGCGTACGTTTACTGAGGAAAGGATGAGTTTGGATTTCCATATATATATATATATATACAAATTGTCTTCTCCGTGTTCTATATTAAGCTAAGGACGTAGGAACGAGTATATTTGTAATATTTCAATAAAATCGATTTCATTAACCAATTACGCAATACTAAATTTCTCATAGTTATTTCTGAAAAAATTTTACATTAAGTTCACTCAAGGTAATCTAAAACGCATATCAGAATTCAAGAAAAAATTCTATTTTTATAATTTTACGTATCGACTATTTTAACAATGTATATATTTTTATAATATTGTCTATTTATTTTATATATTCCTTACATATAATTTCCAAATCATATTTGAAAATAAAAGTCTAATTATAACTTTTTTTTTACAGAAAACTTTATATTTTATAATTTTATATTTATGTAATTTTATAGAACTTTCTGTACTATAGAAAATGTTTAAAATAAATTATAATAAATATCAATCATTGCTAGTCAATTGTTAGTGCATTGATATTTGATATTATTTTATATAATTATATATAATTAAAGATATATATAAACATAAAACATTATTATTTTTGTACTCTAAATTTTCAATTGTTTTTTTGTTTTTTGTATCATTAGAAAATCGCAAAAGACGTATCCGAATAATGTTCAAAAATTTTTATTAAATTTATTGTATTGAAACAAAAAATTATATATCTATCGAATAAAATTGAAAATATATTTTCTGAGAATTAAAAATAAAAATGTTTTAATATACTCTACTTTTAAAAATTTTTAATTTTCTTTTCCTGCTTATCAGTTTCATTTAATAACTTTCATATACGAATTTAAAAGAAAAAACAATTTTTCACGCTGTAAAGTATGAATTAATATCTTGTATGATCATTATTTTCAATCTTAATCGATTACTCGATATAATTTGATAAGCTAATGTAAGTTGTGCGAATCGCATTTTGAGAATCAAATGTATTTTGCATGACGTTTTTCTTTTTTACCATGACAACATAAAAATCAATCAACGTTATTGCATTAACAAATAAATTGGACAAGAAGAAAGACGTGTTCATCGGAAGTAATTCAAAGCGTTACGTTGTAATATTTAGTTCTCGATTTTACATCACAGAATAGTGTGATCAATAAATTTAAGTTTGACTAAATTCAAAATAAAACCATTCTTATTTGTATAATTAATAATTAAAAAACACTACAACGACGATTTGATTAAGACGCATTATTCAGTTCAAAGATAGTTAAAGGTAAAGACGTTAATCATCTTCTCGGCCGTCGATATAAATACTAACTAGTTAACTTATGATGATAACGATGAAAGCAATATTAAACAAGAGTCAAATTAAATAATCGCGTTACCGTTTACATATCTAAAATGAGAAATATTAATTAAACATAAAATTAACTTTCTAAATTAAGAATTAATCATCAAAATTTTCGCAGTCGCGCGAATCGCCGAACGTCGACGTCCTGTCAAAAAGATGGACGGAGTTCAACGGTCGTCGGCGTGAAGCGAAATTGAGAAACGGATAACGCATCGAATTTCATAGGCGCGGAGACGCACGCGTCCCTCTCGACCGTTTATCTCCCGACAGCCGCGAGTATCGACGACGGTCGCATTAATTAGGAACGCACCACGCATAATGAGATGCGTGACGTAACACAACGGCCCAGGCAGGGCCACAGTCGCAGGCCACACGCGAAAGTCCCTCTCGCGGTGTCTCTCCCAAGCGGAGGGAGCTTCATCGGGTGTGCTGGACACGGCTCCGGCTTCAGGATATGTTACGTAGCGCGTCGCATTGGGGTTAACTGCGATTCCGTCGTCGCATCGTTGGCCGAGGTACGTTCTTCGCCGATACGACGGCGGACGGCGAGCGGCATCGGCCGCGAGGACCGTGGGAGCGTGCGAGGTCGCGACACCTCCTCGGGAACACCGTCCGCGAGCGCGCGCGCGCGCGCGCGCGAGCGAACGAGCGAGCGAGCGAGCCAGCCGCTCTCAATCTCTCTCTTGTCGGCGAGGAGAACCGATTTGTAAAAAAATTTGTGCCGCTCGAGAGCCACGTTCTACCGCGCGTTTTCCGTTTTCCCGGATCCGTTCCTCGAGGCCGCTCCCGAAATGGACTGTCCGTTGTGGAATGCCGTCGCGTGATCGCCGGGGACGTGCGAGGCGTACGTCTCTCGAGCACGTTGCACGACGTGACACTTGTTTGCATCTCGCCGTCGTGTCTTGCGATTCCTGCCACGAACGCGACTCTTGATTAACTGTAATTGTAAATATTCTTGGGAGACTGCTAGTTAAATGGAATGTTTACAGACTCTAAGTTGAATTGTGAAAGTCTCTCCTGAGTCCAAATAACAAATTCGATTATTCTTGTTAAACATTAAATTAGTGCGGTCTAATGCCTACCAGTATAGATTAACTTTAATTTATCTTTTAGCTTTTATTTTTTTTTTTAAGAAAAAGATAAAAAATAAGTTAAATCAACATTAAAGTTAATTTATACAGAACGTAAATGCTTCTGTACATAAAATTATTTAAATATATACATATTTTAAATATCAACAATGACTGTCATTGTTTAGCAGAATATACATTAATGATATGCATTTAAATATTTCTTATGTAGTAATCTTTAATGTTACATTAATTCATTAGTATAATATATTTATAATCATAATATATTTGGTAAATGAATTCTGTAAGATAATCCTATTGTTCTTGTTTCTACAGGAGGGAAAAAATAGGAGGAGGAGGAAGATCTTATGATGCATCATTTCTGAAAAATATAGAGACAATCAATAATGATTGAAGACAGACTACAATTATTATAATATAATTTTCTTTACATCAAGACTAAGGTATGTTCACTTGATAAAATTTCTCAAATGTAATGCATTGCAAAATCCTAAAGCACTTAAGATATTTTTCAGATCTGCCTTTTCCTCCATTATGCTGGTTACAATAGTATTCACTTCAATTGGAAGTCGCTCAATCTCAGTAGATAGCATATCCATCAATCGTGAACAAATCCCTGATATATTTTTTGCAAAAGTATGAAAATGAAATGGTGATAGATTAGCGTGATGTGCCTTTATCTTTGGTGTTTCAATTTTACTATGACAGTGGGTATAATATTAAGAATTCGATTATTTAATTTCTAGAATTTCTAGAACGATCTAACATTTTTGATTTATCAAGATTTTTAAATAATCTTGTTTTTCTCTACAGGGAACATCTTGACATATTTTGAAGGAAAAAAAGTGTATGTGATAAATATAAATTCTTAACGGCGCAGTTATAAATAACAAGAGATGGACAGTTCTGAGTATGAAATGGTCAGAAACATGACTCTCCTCTTTTTCTTTGAACGACTGATGGATAAGGGTGGTCCACGTACATTGCATGATCTGAGTTGTCAGTTTGGAGCTAAGGGATTCACGAAAGAAATGCGTCAAATAGCAGGAGGATCGCAAAGTGGCCTTAAGAAATTTTTAGCGCAGTATCCGGCGCTCTTCCTGATCGATGGCGAGTATGTGTCTGTCAATACATTTCAACCAGTTGTGGAAGAGGAAAGCGGGAATAAATCGGGTAAACGGGATTATGCCCGCGAGGCCGTGGAATACTTCACGAACAAGTTATTACAGTATGGAGTAGGCACTGAGGTGCCTATCAAGAGCCTCCTGGGCCATCGATCGCAGGCATCGCCGGAAGTCAGGCATATATCTGGTCAACACTATAAGGAATTCCGTGATTTTCTCCTCAAGTACCCCGATGCTTTTGTAGTCAGTGAAGATAACGTAATATTGAAGCAATACGAGGGCATGAAACCGGAGCCCTTTCACGAATTGGAGCCGGATATTCCGATAGATCCAGATGTTACAGCGAAATTGTTAGACTTTTTCTGCATATGTATTGAACAGAAGGGTCCAATTCTTATAGATCAACTATTCAATATGGTCAACGAGAAGTTTACTCACGAAAGTTGGACAAGTATATTTAAGACGCAGCAGGATCTGTCTACTTTTATAAAAATGTTTCCAGACGCTTTTCATGTGCAAACCAATCTAGTGACGTTGATAGGCCGACCGAAGTCTTCCGTGATGGAACCCGCAGTTACAAAAGCGAAGACTACGAGCAGCAATCAGCGCAATCAAAGCAACAACGTAGCTCACACAAATAACGTGACGCCGATTGTCCCACCAAGCAAGATTCAACTCACCCAGTCACCCTCAAATCGGTCGGAAAGCGTCTGCAACAATGCCACGTCTCAACCTAATTCGCTGCAGAGTGCATATTCGTCGCCTATCGTTGAAAGCAATAATAATTCACCGCCCGTGAGTTTGCAGCAGCAATCTCTCAAGCAGAGATTCAATACAATTGTTATGAGAACTCTGGCGGATAACACGGAACGAGATCGCAGTCTGCAAACCGCCCAGATGGGCGATGCGTGGAAATTGAAAGTGCTACAGCAGACGAGGGTGATAGCAACTTCGCGGGAGAGTCTTCAAGTTATAGAGGATATAATAAACCCTCGGAAGCCTCCTCCCGACGGCAAGATAGTCGTCTCCTTCGATTGCGAGGGCATTAATCTTGGTGTCAAGGGACAGTTGACTCTCGTACAAATCGGCACGATGAGTGGTCAATCATATGTGTTTGATTTGGTCACATGTCCGAGCCTCGTTCAAGCTGGAGGTCTTCAGAAGCTATTGGAACATCCTAATGTTATTAAGGTAATAAAAATATTATTATAGAGAAATATGTAGAAAATATATAGATACATAGTTACTTCACTAATATTGTGTTCACTTCGCAGGTGATTCATGATTGTAGAAACGATAGTGTCAATCTATACAATCAGTTCAAGATTACGTTAACCAACGTTTTTGATACACAGGTACTGAATATTCTTTATTCTTTTGTTCTTTGTTCTTTGTAAAGTGTTAACATATTGTTACAATTGTTGTACGAAATATCTCTTATAGGCTGCACATGCAGTGCTTCAGTTTCAAGAAACGGGAAAGCCTGTGTACAAAGTTAAAAATGTTAATCTAAACACCTTGTGCGATCATTACGGTGCTCCGTGTAATCCGCTGAAAGAGCAATTGAAAAATATTTATCGTAAGGATCAACGTTATTGGTCTCGGCGACCCATGACTCGTGACATGCTGATTTATGCTAGCAGCGATGTTTTAAGCCTTGTACCTCAAGTTTATAATGCCATGTCTAGGTATAGTTTATTTAGTATTTTTTTTATAGTTTATTTATGAATAAGAAGCACCTTTTGGAACTATTAATAACAGCAAACTAATAACGATTTCTATATATTACAGACTTATAAAGCCAGAAGTACAAGGTCTTTTTGAAGAGTTGTGCGAAGAACAAATTCAAATGCACATAAGACCGGCAGATGTAAAAGCACGTAAGAAGCAACGAAAGGTCGAGACCGAAGTGGCAGATCTGAAAAAGAGAATGGAAGAAGCAACGAGTAAAAATATCGTATTGAGTAATCGTGAGATTCGACTTCTACGTTATTTGGATCTTACCGAAGACGAAAAAGAAAAGCTCAAAGGAAGTTATAAAGTTGCTAGAAAATTGGAGAAGTTAGAGAACATGGGCCAAGATAAGGCCGACACTAGCGATGATGACGACGAGGATAAAACGGATGATCACGAATATCAAAGCTTGGAGAGCTATACATCGGAAAATTCTCACTCCGGTAAAATATCAAAATGACAATGTTGTTTGGTATTTCAATTATAAAATAAAAATAGAGTTAAAATATAGAAAATTTCATATAATTAAAATATAAAATTGCTATTTAAAATTATATGCACTTTTAAATATTAAAAAATATAAAAATTTGATTATGTTTTGTTAATGAATTTTAGCAGTTCTGTATAATGAGCATAGGTTGACAAATTAAAAATTACTTTCTAGGTGGCATATTGTCACCACGAAACGCCGATACTCCAAGCTTAACCGAATCGATGCAAATGATGGACGAAATACTCTCGGACGGTCGGATGGATAAATTCGAAAAGATTGAGAAACTGGAAGCCATATTATCAGCAGTTACTAGTTCCGCGACTGATCAGCTTTCCGCCAACAATGCGGACGCATCGCTGATGAAATGCGTTTGCACGTGTCAGGACGATAAGGCCGACAGTCCACGGATGGATCGCCAGGCTGTAGGAACTAGCGTGGCTTGCCAAACGCTTAGTACAGGTGATATAGTATTTACTAGAGTCTTTGTCAGCGAGGAAGAAAAAGAGAGAGTAAGATTATTGAATTCGCCAAAAAAGTAGATATTACAGCTGCTGTGAAAGTAGTAGAAAAAAGTTGCCATTTATAGGTTTTTTTATAAAACGGAACGATCGCATAAAAGAATTAAGTAGTTGAAATTTATCTATTTTATGTAATATGTATATAAAATGAGATTCAGAGAGCAGAACCGGCGAAGCTCACAGAATGTTTTCTCTGGTGTCTTTCTGCTCCTTTAAAAAAAAAGTGTCTTAAATGGATAGGCCTTGTTATACATGCCTTTCCAGATCTGACGATATGTTGATCAGATTTTTGGGAAAAGGTTATTTAATTTTATACGAGGATATCGTACGTTTATTATCTGCTGGAAGATTATCTTTCTTTTACGAGCGTTCAAGAAAGACCGAATCATGTAAAAGTAATAGTAACAAAATATAATCGCGGACAAGATTTTGACAGCCGCAAATTTTGTGATTTTTGAACATACTACAACTTGCGGCGTTTTATGTTTGCCTCGGAATCTGCTACAAAAAATCCTTTAAATATTTCTTTAGGCAAAAAGAAATATATATATACATATGTACAAATATTAACAAAAAAAATTGTAATATTTATAAGGATAATGATTGCTGACGCTTTTAATAGCGTTACAAAATTAACGGAATGCATATCTTATGCTTGTGTAATATTTTTTATGTGAAGTACTGCATTAAAATCGCTAATTTTTGAGTCTTGTATGGCCTAATTTGCGTCACAGAGTTTATCAGAAGGAACGAATCGGCAGTAATATAATAGAATATAAGCGATTCTTTAATGTCCATTTCTATCAATGTCTATTAATTTTAATTTCGATTTAATATACTTTTTATCTTTTTCTAATTTTCAAAACTAAGAAAAAACTAAGAAAAAATAAAAATACTGAAAGTAATGAAATCAAAATTACAATTAATCTATATTGATAGAAAATTGGATATTTAAAATGCTTTTTTCTACAGGATTTAAGCTTATGCACGCGAAATAAACTTATGCAGACCTCTTCCTTACATCGACTATAGATATAATTTATTTTCATATATAGTTATACAAGTGCCAATTTAATATAGAATATATATAATAAATGAATTAACAAATACATTTTATATTTCTATTTAATTACATGCTTGTATAATTACTGCTCGCACTTCCAGTTAATGATCAATAATTTAATAATATTAAATAAGATAAAAGCATCAGTCATATCGCATAGAATTGCATCTATATCCTTTTAATCATATCATTAATAAACAAACTGCCAGCAAAAAAGTGACGATTTCGAAAGACATAAATAAATCATTATCATCATACATTGTAAGTGTTTTTAGTGCAATACTTTACACATGAAAAGATAATATATGTTTATCGCGTATCAATCGCGTAATCCTTTTACATTTTAAAAAAACATACTATCAAGACATATAGCCGAAAAAGAAATTATATTAAGCACTGACATATTCTCATTTATTATCAATCGAGAGGCTCAATTAGTATCAAATTGTTCGACTATCTCGTATATACTATTCATAAAATATTGAAAGCTGTTATAGTATGTAAATTTCTTTGATCTAATCAAAACGCCGACTTAGTAGCAATATTTTTTACAAAATTCTTAGAAACGCGAGACAAATACATCGAACGTTTTCTAATATTTTGATGAGACATTGATTATATTTCGTTATATAATTGAATCGTTGTATAATTGAAAATAATAATAGATTATAATTATGTACGCGCGTTCTTAGGAGATGCATAACTGCGTTGTTCCTAGAAAGTGCAATTTAGTTCATCGCAAAAATATGTTTGGTACTCAAATTATTATTCTGGCAGCTATTTGCGTTTGCTGATATAAATAATCATCGATATACAAAAATTTTATATATTTACGAAATAATTGTGCTCTATATATAAATTATATTTAGGACAAAAAAAATTCGAAAAGTACGAAAATGTAAACCTTTTTTAGGAATGTAAATTATACATCCTTAGGCTTGGGTTTAATTTTATTTTTATTATGTTTCTAAATATCTTCTTTTTAATTTTCTAATTTATAACACAGATTCTATATTATAACACAGATTCTTATAAATATGTAATTTTGATTATACACATTTATAAATTTTACACATGTAGAAATTTCTCTGCATATTATTCATTGATATTATTCATATTTTTATTTCCTGCACTCATATTGATTTTGAAATAATTGCGTATAGAATTATTATAAGTTTATTATAAACAAATTATTGTTGACTTAAATTATTAATATCTTGTTATTTGTGAATTCAATAAACATGAAAAAAAGATAATAAATTTCTACTGATCAATAATAGAACTCAATCCAGTTTACAAATGAGATGAGTGCTGAGAATTAATGGATTACATTTGCTTGAGGATAATACAATTCATAGATTTATTAATTGATTTTATTACTCTACTAACTATGTTGTTCACTCTGATTTTTTTGAAAAGAAAATCTCAGTTTGAAAAGGAAATCTCAATGCCATTCTTTATTTATTATCTATTATTACATTTTCTCTTCCAATTATATCTGCGTGATTTGATTTTAGCGATATTTTAAGAACATATTAAAAAAGATATTTGAATTATTTTATAACATATTTATATCAATAGTAATTGTACTAAACAACAAGGAAACATCACAAAAATATTTATACGAGACAATGCTAATTCATATGATTATTAACGATGACTAATTCGTTGCGTAGCAGCGTAGGTACGAAGCAGACTCTAAAACGGATATACGTAATAAAGATATTACAGAAAAAGATAATACGAGTATTATTTGTTTAAATGCCATCCATTTCAAATTATATAGCCAAACGGATATTTCTACATTCTATAATATATACACGAAATATTGCAAAAAAGAATGTATAACGAAAATATTTTTTTCTGCTTCTTTTTTGATTGTTGAAAATCGATGTAAGAAGAAAATATTGCATCTTATTTTAGAAACATGAATGATTTGCATACATAAATGAAAATAAATATTTTTATAATAATATCAACATTAAATTTCATAATTTTTTAAACATAAATACATTATAAGCATAAATACATAAATATAGAAACATAATTTATATAAATTTTTACAGTCTTGATGAAAACATAATAAAATTATTTAAACATTAACTTTATGTCAAATGATTGATATATAAAAAATTATGAAGTTATAATATCAAAAAATAAATAAATCAAGATAATGATATTTATATATATATACATTTAATGCAAATACTATAGCCTATATATAACAAATGACCAAAATTACTTAAAAGGAAGTACAATTTGTTTAGGCATGGTAAGATTTCTATATGAAATTGCATATGATTGCACTGATGTGCCTTTTTCGAAATAGTCTTTTATGTAGTCCGAGTGTGGCCCTGCGAATAATTTATTTTCTAGAAAATTTAAATCTGAATGCGATAATGAATTTATAACGCCTGCAGGAATACCGCATGTTGAAAATATATTGCAATATGGTAATATACCAGAAAAATTTGCGTTATTTAAAACAATAACGGTATTTCCAGCAATTAAAGTTTGCATTAATCGAACAAACAAAGCGTTTTCATTGCACTCTTTGAGAAAGATAACACCTAATGGCATGCGAGTATACATTACTTCTACTTCTGCATACTGCGAGGATGCACATGCAGAACTAAATCCTATGACATTTGGACAGACATTTGGGAAACTCATCCATCGTTCTACTATAGCCGCCAATAGAGGTTTACTAAAAGGAAAAAAAAAAAATAATAAATTATTAAGAGTAAACAAACATAAGTAAAATATTATGTAAAGATATACAAGAATTTCTGTTAACAACGTACCCGATAGAAATTAACATAGACTCGAGATTAGATAATATTTCTATTCTGGATTTAATAGATTTGGCACTCCAAATTTCAAATCCTTTCTCGGCTGATTCATAACACTTTACAATATCGCTGCTGTAATAACGATACATTAATTGATTACAAGTTCTACATGTATTTAATTTTTTAAATTCAATTTCTTTTTATTGCGATTAATCAGATCGAGAAAACATGTGTATTCATACTTTGTTACATTTGCCAGAAAGATGTCATACAAGAAGTTATGCTTCGTGTACATATTTAGTAGGGGTGGTTGCCACATACCACCATAAAATAGATGATATATCACACAATTTGTTTCTTCAGGACTGTTTAAAATTATTCCATTTTTTATCTGCAATGAATCGATCAAATCGATGCTTACTTTGCGCATTTTATGAATATTTTCTCTTCGTATTTCTTGATCGCACACATTTATATAAGGTAGGAACACTGCACCACCGGAAAATTCCATATATGAATTTATGTATATCACATGTTTCTGAATAATTAAGAAGAGAAAAAAAATTTATTTTAATAAATAACGTAGAAAGAATAATTCTTGGTAATATATCATATCATATAACTTAAAAAATATACATTTAAGGACAATGCAAAATTCTTCGCAGCTACAATATTCTCCGACCATATGGATACTATGTTTATAGAAAAAGCTTTACATGCATAGAGTTTAATATCTTTCAATGATTGAAATGTGTAAACAGATGAGGATAAATCTAAATTATTGTATTTTTTTGTAAGCCATAAAAATTTCTCCATTACAGACATTTGCACCCATATTTTATATAAAGGGTAATTTTCTGTTATCTTTAAACAATTAACAATTGCATATAGATCCGAATCTTCCAGAATAATCATCTCGCAGTTGTGCACTGTATGAATTCGATAGATTTTGATTAGGAAATAACATCATTTTTAATACGATATGAAGAAATGAATCCTTTACCGTATGTCCTAATATATATATTTCCATACAGATATGCGCTAATGGGCCTGTGTAAAATGGCTCTAGAATATAGAAATAGATATCTAATATTACAAAAAGTTTATGAAAGTATTGCAACAAAAGTATTACAAAATTCCAGATTAATGACTATGCGAATAAGCATTAAAAAATATTTGTTTCATCATTTTAAGAATTATCTACTTAATTATTAATTAATTAATCTTGTAATATATATATTCTAAATAATTGTTTATCGTATAATTACTGTAAGATACATCGTATCAACATATGTGCTGAGATATTATTACGTATATTTAAAAGTGCAAGTAATACCACATTGTCTTCAACGTCCGAATTATATGTTTGATCTAGACAAAAATTAAAAAATGAGATTACTATTTATAACGAACCATCATAATATATTTCTTGCTATTGCTATTTTTACAATCAAGATGTAAGTAAAAATCAAGATATAAATAACGTAATATCGATACATCTTCTCAGCTACAATCAGAGGGTTTATTATTTTATATAGGACTACTAATATTATCTTACGTACACATTATATCACTGTTGGGACTTTCAGCTAATCTATATAAATATTGAATTAATGCCATGACTACATCGATATGTTTATAAATATCTACGAAAAGTAAGAGATTTTTTTCTATTATGAGCGACAACTTCTCCAATCTATAAATATAAAAAGAGAATATTCAAAATGACTAAGAGTGAAGCAACTACCAAACATATTTTATTCAACTGCTTCGTGCACACATATTCTATCTTTAAAGTACATTTTTACTTACCTTCGTACTAAAGAAACGTCTTTATGAAATGATATTTTCATGAGTAGAGTAGTTAATTTTATTAATTTCTAAAAATATATATAAAAATTAATATATTAAAACAACTGTAAGTTTTTGTTTCTAGCATAAAAGATGTGTGTCATGCGTCCAAATATTGGCAAAATATAAATTTCGTAAATTGTTATATTATTTTTTTAATATCTACATAAAAGATGAGCATAATTTTATATAGTTTATAAATTATAAATATTATAAATAGTTAGTTTTTAAATTTACATTGATTCTTATAGATAATGTATCTATTTTTTGTTATTATATTATATGTTGTACATATTAATACTCACATCTCTGTTCGACTTGTTGTATTCTAGATTAGCGTAATATTCGCTTATAGCTTTCACTCGCTCCATGATTTTTAATTAGATTTCAATGTTCATTAAAAGAAGTTAAAATTGGAATTATAATCGATTAATTACTTTAGCAAGAAATTCACAAAATTAAGTGGAAAGAACTTCAATATTTATTTGTGAATAACGAATATAATATCAAAACTTATAAATACCGTCATTGATAGCGGACACTAATCACATTTTGTTTATATTCATATGAAATGTATATGAAAATATTCGCGTGTGCGCGATTTTCTTAAATCTTTTAAATCCTTTTCTTTGGTTTTGCGAATTTAAAAAAAAAGCTTTATTTTTATTGATAATTATTATTTAATAAAAAATATTAGAAAAATAAATTTTAAAGTATTAAAAATATAATGAGCAAAGTAACGAATTATTTGTTTTTAACGCTAATGAGTTTCTTTTCAAAATCATTAATTAATAATAATAACTGTTTACTTTTTGACTCGATAACAATGATTTACTTTCAAAAATTAATTTTTCAGTTCTATTTAAAAGTATTAGAAGAGTAACTTATTTATATAAATAAATCATAATTTGTGGAAAATGGATAAGAAAAATGAAATAATATAATTTGTTTCGCAGTTGGCAATTTTTTAATTTAACGATCAAGTTAATCGAAAATAATAAGATCATGGTAAAAGTCTTAACTCAATATATGCGATGTCAGAGTTCTGAGTGGTTGATAATTGTTTTAATAAAATAATTATTTGGAATAAATAATACTTTATTTATAAAAACTAGAACATAACGGGCGCGCTATATGCATGCCGCTATATGCATGCCACTTAATGTTTATTAGTTTATATTTTTGCAAAGAATAAATAATTGTTAAAAATAAATGAATTCGTACATATTTTTATACATTAATCTTTTTTACTTTAAAAAATTCGAGTAACTAAATGACAGATAATAATAAAAATGTAATTTTTTTTAAATTGTGATGTTTTAAATTGTGATTGATAAACTTTAATATAAATTTAAATATAAATATAAATTAAAAAAATATAAATTAAAAAATATAAATTTAATATAAATATTGAAAACTTTTTGCACGCATTTTTTCTCTAACATTACATATAATTTAAATTTTTGATAATAGATTTTTTACATTATATAGCCATATAATAGGTTCAGCAATCTCTGAGAAATTTATCTTTTTTAATAGAACAATATATTATTATTATTGGTATAAGGTAACAAATTAATGAAAATTTATATATGTATAGAAAATATTGTATATTATTTTAGAAACATGAATAGTTTGCACAGCTGAAAGAAATAAATTTTTATAATAATATTGGCGTTAAATTTTATAATTTCTTAAATATACATAACATGCAAATTTATGAATATAGAAATATAATTTATATAAATTTTTACAGCTTTCTATCAACAAAAGAATACAATTCTCTCGAGTATTAGTCTTATTTCAAATAATTGTTACACGAAAATGAAATTATAATATTGAAGTAAGAAATCAAGATATTTATATTCGTACATTTAATGTAACACTACATGCAATATTACATGCACCAAAATTATTTAGAAGGAATTACGATTTGTTTAGACATGGTAAGATTTTTATATGACTTTATATATGATTGCCCTGATGTCGTTGTACTTTTATCAAAGAAAGCTTTTATATAATCTGAATATTGTCCTGAGCATAATCTGTTTTCTAGCACATTTATATTTTCACATGATAATAAATTGATAACGCCTGCAGGTATACCGCACGTTGTAAACATTTCGCAATATGGTAACAGGTTACAAGAATTCACATCATTTATAACAATGACGGTATTCCCAGTTATTAAAGTTTGCAGTAATCGGATAAATAAAATGTTTTCGTTCTTCTCCTTAAGAATGATAACACCTAATGGTATGCGATTATGCATCATTTCTACTTTTGCAATTACCGAAGTAAATCCTGTGACTTTTAGACAAATTTTTTCGAGGTTTCTACATCGTATTATTATAGCTGCCAATACAGGTTTACTTAAAAAAGAAACACAAAAATTATTAAAAGTAAAGAAACATAGGAAAAATAGAAACATACAAGAGATGTAGATATAGATAAAGGGTAGATAAAGATATAGAGATATAGAGACATACAAGAATTTTCTTTGACAACAACATACCCAGCAGAATTTAACATGGACTCGAGATTAGATAATATTTCTATTCTAGATTTAACAGATTTGGCACTCCAAATTTCGAATCCTTTCTTGGCTGATTCATAACACCTTACAATATCGCTGCTGTAATAACACAGACATTAATTGATTACAAGTCCTACATGTATTTAATTTTTAAATTCAAGAATTATTGCAATTAATAAGATCGAGAAAACACGTGCATTCATACTTTGTTGCATTGGCCCATAAAATGTCATTGTGCTTCCAATATGTGTTTTGTATGGGTTTTTGCCACATACCATCATAGAACAGATAATTTATCGAGAAAGAACTCGTTTCAGAAGTACTTGATAAATCTATCTCATTTTTGCTTTCCGTTAAATCAAGATTTGAGATTTTTTCGCATATTATATTAAACATAAATGTCTCTTTGTTTTGAACATCATTATGAGATATTACACCACCAGAAAATTCCATATATGAATTTATGAATACCACATGTTTCTGTAAGAATAAAAAAATTTATTATAATGAATAACTCAAGATAATTCTCGGTAATATATCATGTTAGATAATGTAAAAAAAATATACATTTAAAGACAATGCAAAATTCTTCGCAGCTATAATATTTTCCGTCCAGATGGACACTATAGAAAAATTGTTACTTGTACAAAGTTTAATATCTTTCAATGATTGAAATGTATGAACAGATGAATCTAAATTATTATATTTCTTTGTTAACCATAAAAATTTCTCCATTATAGGCATTTCCACCCATATTTTATATAAAGGATAGTTTTCTGTTATTTTTAAGCAGTTAATAATTGCGTATAGGTCCGAATCCTTCAGAATTATCATTTCGCAGATGTGCTCTAGATGAATGTAATAGATTTTAATTATAAGAAAATATCAATTTTATTGTGATATGAAGATATGAAAAATAATTCCTTTTTACCTGAATTCGTATTAGTTTTAAAAATTGCAGGGAATTTCAGAATTCTAAAATACAAAAAGATATCTAATATTAAAGAAAATGTATGAAATATTGTAACGCACGAAATATCGGATTTAATAATTATGAAAATAATAAATGTGTCAAAAATATTTATAATTTTGATAATTAGAAGTACATTTATTCAATTAATTAATTAATTTTATACTCTATACTGTATAATTGTTTACTATATAATTACTGTAGCATGTAATCCATCAATGTATCAGCTCGTGTATCTTTACATATCTTTAAAAGTTTAAGTATTGGTACTCCAGATTTAATCTCCATATTATACGTTAGCTCTAGACAAAGTGAAAATAGAAGGTATGAGATACTCATAATTATAATGTATTCATTCTTATCCTTATTTAAGAAGAGAGATAGAAAAAGAGAAATAAAAGAAAAATAAAATCATCATGTAAGTAATATTACATATATATAAGTAACACAATATATCTTCACAATTGCAATAACGTTTATAATTTTAATATAGGACTATTAGCATCATCTTACATACGTGCTATATCAATTTTAAATCTTTCTAAGTTATATAAAGATTGAATTATAGCTGTGATTACATCGATATGTTTGTAAATAGATACAAAAAGTGCGAGATTTTTTTGTATTATGCACGACAGTTTCTCCAATCTATAAATATTAAAAAAAAAGAATATTTAGAATGATGAAGATTGAAACAACTGAACATATTTTATTCAGCTGCTTTTAATCTTTTTATACACACACATATTCTATCTTTAAATTATATCTTTACTTACTTTCTGATATAAGTAACGTTTTTTTCAAATATTTTTTTTCTCAAGTAGATTCTTTATTTCTGCTAACGCCTAAAAGTATATACCAAAATTATATACAATATACAATAAAAAACCTACAAACTTTTGTTTCTAGCATAAAGGATGTCATACATCGAAACATTGGCAACAATATAAGAATATCGCAGATGGTTTTTATTGGACTATTTCTTTAATATCTTACGCAAAAATTGAGTATAATTTTAGAAATAGTTTAAAAATTATTTAATTTTCAAATTTGCATTAATTCTTATAAAGAGAAATAGAATATTGCAACACTAATGTAACATCTTTTTTTTCAAATTTTAATAACTTTTATATCTATTTCTCTTTATATAATATACTATACACATTAATACTCACATCTGTTATGTTCGTCTTGTCGTAGTCTAGATCAATATAATATTCGTTTATAGCTTCCATTCTCTCCATGATTCTTAATTAAATTTCAATGTTTATTAAAATTGGGCTTATAATCGATTAACTGCTTTAGCAATAAATTCACGAAACTAAGTGGAAAAGACTTTGACATTTAGTTATGATTAGCAAATATAATATCAAAATGTATAAGTACTGTCATAGACAGCAAACAAGTCAGATTTTGTTTATATTCATATAAGGTATTTGAAAATATTTGCGTACGCGCGATTTTCTTACATATTTAATAATCTTGCGAATTTAAAATAAAAAATTTTCTTATTTTTAATAATTAACTACAGAGTAACAGTTATAACAAAAAATATTGAAAAAATAAATTTTTTATTTAATCTGATTTTAATTATTAAAAAAGTAACGGAAAGGTGACGAATTTATTTCCAGAGTATAATATTAATATATAATTAGTAACAATATCTAATTACTTTTTGATTCGATAACGACTAATGATAGCGAATTATTTTTAAAAAATAACTGTTCCAATCCTATTTCCCTGTATCCAAAAAGAGTATAAGAGTAATTCATTTATATAAATAAATCATAATTTGCAGAAAAGGACAAGAGAAAAGAAAATAATATGGTCAGATAAGTTTTGCAATTAGCTATTTTTATATTTAACAATTGATCAAGCTAATCAGAAAATTGACAAAAAAAGTATAAACGTATAATATTAAAATAAAAATATAAAATATAAAAAAATAAAAATATAAAAGTAAAAATATAAAAATAAAAATATAAAAAAATATAATATTGAAGTAAACCAATTAAAATATTTATATAATGTAAACAAATCGAAGCTACACCAAATTATTTCAAAGGAAATACAATTTGTTTAAATATAGTATGTTTTTGATATGATAATATAGACGATATTCTTGATTTACCTTTTTCGAAAAACCTTTTAATATAAGCCGAGTACCCTACACCTAAACATAATATGTCTTCCAGCACATCTATATTTTCACACGATAATGAATTTATAACACCTGCAGGTATACCGCATCTTAAAAATATTTCGCAATATGGTAATATATTACACAAATTTCCATCATTAATAACAATGACGGTATTCCCAGCAATTAAAGTTTGCATTAATCGGACAAATAAAACATTTTCATTTTCTTCCTTAAGAGTGATAACACCTAACGGCATGCGAGAATTCACTATTTCTATTTCTGCACCTTGCGAGAATGCAAAAGTACAAGTCATTCCTGCAACATTTGAACAGATGTCGAAGAAGCTCAACCATCGTTCTATTATAGCTGCCAATAAAGGTTTACTAAAAAAAAAAAAAACAATAAGTTATTAAAAATACATAAATATAGATAAAATATTATGTAAAGAGTTATATAATATAAAAATTTCTGTTAAAAACGTACCCAACAGAAATTAACATAGTCTTGAGATTAGACAATATTTCCATTTTGGATTTAATAGATTTGGCACCCCAAATTTCGAATCCTTTCTTGGCTGATTCATAACAGCTTACAATATCGCTTCTGTAATAACGATGCATTAATTGATTACAAGTCCTACATGTATTTAATTTTTTAAATTCGAGAGTTATTGCGATTAATAAGATTCAGAAAACATGTGCATTCATACTTTGTTGCATTGGCCCATAAAATATCATTGTGCTTCCAATATGTGTTTTGTGTAGGTTTTTGCCACATACCATCATAAAATAAATGATATATTAAACAATTTGTTTCAGAAATGTTTAATATATTCATTCTATTTTTGCTTTTTGCTAAATCAGTCATATCTGATTTTTCTTTGCATATTGTATTAAATTTGTATTCCTTCCAATTTAGAAAACATATATCCATATAAGGTAATACCGTTCTACCACCAGCAAATTCCATATGTGAATTTATAAATACCATATGTTTCTAAATAATTAAAAAAAATTTATTTTAATAAATAACTTAAGTTAATTCTTGACAATATGTAGTAATATTATGTGATGTAAAAAATGTACGTTTAAGGACAATGCAAAATTCTTCGCAGCTACAATATTTTCTGACCATATGGACACTACGCTTATGCTCATAGAAAAATGATTACATATACAGAGTTCAATATTTTTCAATAATTGAAATGTGTGAACAGATGAAGATATTTCTAAATTTCTGTAGTTCTTTGTAAGCCATAAAAATTTCTCCACCACAGACACTTGCACCCATATTTTATATAATGGATAGCATTCTGTTGTTTTTAAGCAGTTAATAATTGCATACAGATCGGAATCTTCCAGAATTATCACTTCGCAGATGAGCTCTGAAAAAATTCAATAGTTTTTAATTGAGATAATGATGAGATAATATTATTTTTATTGCGGTATAAAAAATGAATCATTTACCATACTCCCCACTATATTTAACGTTAGTTTCATATGTTGTCATGGATTTCTCTAACACACTTCTATGATACAAAAACAATAGATATCTAATATTATATAGAAAATTTATGAAATATTGTAAAGAACGTATGAACTTTCAGATTAATAATAAATAAAAATAAATATTAAAAAGTATTTAGAATTTTGATAATTACAAATATATTTAGCAGATTAATGAATCTTATACTGTATACTGAATAATTGTTTACTGTATAATTACCGTAAGATAGATTGCATCAACGTTTGTGCTTGGATGTCTTTACATATATTTAAAAGTGTAGCTATTATCGAATTGTCTCTAGCGTTCGATTTATATAAATTCGGTTTATATATTTGATCTGATAAATAAAAATAAAAAAATAGCAGACATTCATAAATAATAATAATGCATTCGTTGCTTATTGTTGTTTACAAGAAAAAATGAAGATGTAACTAACAAAATCAATATATTTTTATAATTACAATCGCAGGATTTATTATTTAATATAAACCTATTATTATTAGTCTACATATATATCATATTACCGTTGGAATTTTCAGATAAGTTATATAAATTTTGAATTATAGCCATGACTACATCAATGTGTTTATAAAGAGATACGAACAGTGAGAGATTTTTTTTTATTATTAACGACAATTTCTCCACTCTATAAATATAAAAAAGAAATATTCAAAACAGTATATTTTATTTAGCTGCTTTGATCTTAGTACACTTTATTTTTAATTATATCTTTACATACCTTTTTAATAGAGAAACCTCTGGCTTCAATAACATTTTTTCAAACAGATTATTCATTTCTATTAATCTCTAAAACGATATACAAAAATTAGTATTATACAACTAGATAACAAAGTTTTTGTTTTAACATAAACGATGTACGTCTCATGCGTCAGAACACTAACAAAAATCATAAAAATGTCGTAGACTATTCTATATTTTTTTTTAATATCTATTCAAAAACCGAGCATAATTCTACGAATAGCTTAAAACTATTAAATTATTAATTTTTAAATTTGCATCCATTCTTAGCTTAGATAGCGTATTCCAATATTATAAAACACGTTTCTTCTTTCAAATTTAAACAATTTTTATATTTATTTCGTGTTATCATATATTGCATTCATACTTACATCTGCTACGTTTATCTTGTCATATTCTAAATCAACATAAGATACGTTTATACCTTTTACTCGCTCCATGATTCTTAATTAGATTTCAATATAATTTCATTAAAAGAAATTAATGTTAGGCTTATAATCGATTTATTGCCTTACTAATAAATTCACGAAACTAAGTGGAAAAAACTTCGACGTTTAATTGCGACTAGTGGATATAACATCAAAACTTATAAGTATTGTCTTAGACAGCAAATAAGTCATATTTTGTTTATATTCATATAAAGTATTTAAAAATATATATTCATATAAGATATTTAAAAATATACGCGCGATTTTCTTAAATATTTAGTGATCTTGCGAATTCAAAAATAAAAAATTTTATTATTTTTAATAATATATTTAATTAACTATAATACCAGTAATAACAAAAAATTGAAAAAGTAAATTTTTTATTTAATCTGATTTTAAAAAAATAACAGAAAAGGAGCGAATTTCTTTTGAAAGTACAATATTAATATATAATTAATAATGTTTATCTAGTTATCTTTTAAGTCGATAATGGTAGCGAGTTATTTTTAAAAAGTAATTGTTTCAATCCTATTTCCCTGTATCTAAAAAATATAAGAGTATAAAAAGTATAAGAGTAACTCATTTATATAAATAAATCATAATTTGCTGAAAAGGACAAGAGAAAAGAAAATAATACGATCAGTTAAGTTTTGCAGTTAGCTATTTTTATATTTAACAATTGATCAAGCTAATCAGAAAATTGATAAAAAAATATAAACGTATAATATCGAAATAAAAATATAAAATATAAAAAAATAAAAATATAAAAAAATAAAAATATAAAAATAAAAATATAAAAAAGTATAATATTGAAGTAAAATAATTAAAATATTTATATACTTTATGTAATGTAAAATCGGAGCTACGTATCACCAAATTATTTCAAAGGAAATACAATTTGTTTAAGTGTGGTAAGCTTTTCATGTGATAATATATACGACATTCTTGATCTACCTTTTTCGAAAAACTTTTGAATATAAATCGAGAACCCTACACCTAAACATAATACGTCTTCCAACACATGTATATTTTTACATGATAATGAATTTATAACGCCTGCAGGTATACCACATCTTGAAAATATTTCGCAATATGGTAATATATTACAAAAATTTCCATCATTAATAACAATGACAGTATTTCCTACAATTAAAGTTTGCATTAATCGGACAAATAAAACATTTTCATTTTTTCCTTAAGAGTGATAACACCGAGTGGCATGCGAGAATTCATTACTTCTACTTCTGCACCCTGCGAGAATGCAAAAGTACAAGTCATTCCTATGACACTTGGACAGATGTGGGGCAAGTTTATCAATCGTTCTACTATAGCTGCCAATAAAGGTTTACTAAAAAAAAGAAAACAATAAGTAATTAAGAATAAATAAACATAGGTAAAATATGTAAACACATACAAGAATTTCTGTTAAAAACGTACCCAAGAGAAATTAACATAGTCTTGAGATTAGATAATATTTCTATTCTGGATTTAATAGATTTGGACCCCAAATTTCGAATCCTTTTTTGGCTGATTGATAAC